GCGCGATTTATGCGCGAGTTTTTAGAATTGCAAAACCGACATTACGTGTTTACACCGAAAAGCAAACGGAGCGCGGGAGCGCTGCACGAGGCGCATAAATAACGAGCGCATGTCGAAAACGGTAATTCAATCGCAATCTTAAATCGGTCGCGATCTTCAATTCGCCATCGATCTTCACGTTCGAAAATGTGACTTCGCACTGATTTATGATAATTTATTTAATTTTTAAAAAGCAAACGGAAATATTTTACGGTTATTTGTATAGTGTATATTTTTGCGTCATAAAAAACACACACAAGTAAAATATAACCGGCGATAAAATTTACGATTTTAAAATTTCCCGCAGAGCGGAAACTATCAAATAATAATTTTCATAAAATTTCAATACGATTTCCATTTATTTGCCCATTTCAATTGCGCATTTTTATGAATGCGCCGCTCGTATAGTCAACTTCCAAAGCATTTCACAGCGTGAGTTTTCTCTGGCAAAAAAATCATCGAAAGCTTTTGCAAAGGTTGAAATGAAAACGTCTTGCACTTGTTGGATTTATCGTCCATTTATTATACAAATGCACAACTGAAAACTCACGCCAAATAACTACCGCAGCGCAGAAAAAACTGTCCCGCAGGAAAAATTATTGTTTTTTAATATCCGCACTCGAAGTGATTTTATTATCGGCACGACGCCGCCTGTTATTGTCATGAACGAGGAATTCCGGTTTGCTCGTGCACGTTCGCGGGGGTTGAACCAGCGCACACACACACAAAAAAAAACGGGTTAAAAAACGTGAAAGAATAAAAGTGAGATGGAATTGCGTGCGATTGTGGAAAATGTAGAAAAGGGGTTGGAAAAGATGAGTTATACGTGTCGGTATTTTGGAAATTCGAACAGATTTAAATAACCGGGGGTGCGCATCATAAAAAACACATATAATATGCGGCGCAGCAAAAAAAAGTTCCACCCTCATGGAAAGCGCGCACACACAAAAACGTTTTCCACCTTTGTGCAGTGTGGAAGAGGGTGGGCGATTTCCATAGGATGAACATTCCACCAGGGCAAAATTTCTACTCTCTTGAAGATATTTCAATCATTGAAACTCGAAAACACGTAAAAAACGACAAAAACAGATTTTATCATTTGTAAAGCATTAGTTGGAGACGGCAGGTTATCGCACCACGACCGGAAATTCTCTAAGAGACATGTAATCATAGGTGTGATTTTATTTTTATGTAAGGTAGTTATTAACACGTCACTCAGCGCAAGCGTCTTTGAGGTGTCAGAAACAACGCCAGCTCTCAGACTTCGATTACTGATATTACTCGGAATTGGAAAGCTAATGAGACGATCGCTCACACTCACAGCATGACACAGCAGAGCAATAGCAAGGGGTGCATAGTTGCGACATTAGCTCATTACCCACTTGCTAATTACGGAAGAAATTCTGTGTATGACATTCCTCACAAAACAAAATCACAAAACGTCAAAAAAACAGAAATAAGATGTTTGTAGAAGTGGTGGAAATCACAAGGGATGAAAAAAGGTGTCATTGTCATTGTCACGTTGTCAGTACACTTCCTTAACTTGCGCGCCGATTTATTTTCATTTCGTCGAGCGAATTGCGATTTTGAGTTTTGCGTTTTCTCATTTTCTTTCTTTCCGCCGCGCAGCGCAGGAGGGTTGATTTCAAGGTGGCGCACGGTGTTACCAAGTGTTGAGGGTGGCTGCTGCCCGAGTACTGTTTAATATGCGGGGTGACGCTCGGCGCGGATTTGTTATGATGAAAACGTTATGAAAACGAAAATCCGCTCGTGCTCGAAGAAATTAGATCATTTCCCAGACAAGACAGATGCGACACGACAATGACAAGAGCAGAACAGGGGACGCAGAAACAACTTAATTCTCTATTATTAGCATATACTCAATTTGTAACAAATTTAACCGTCAATTATACGCGTAAAATCAGTTTTTGTTCATTTTTTGTTTTTATTTGTGAGCTATTATTATTTTTGTGTACATTGGGTTGCCCATAGTGCATCTGCCAAGCGCACTCGACATTTCAGCCGGAACTATTCCTTATTCCCTATTCTCGAGCGCGTTTCTCGCAAAAAAAAAAGTTGAAGTTATTACCTAACGCTGGAGTGACACACGAGTGACAGTTCAATAACGGCGCGCGCCGTGTGCGATATTGAATCGCTGCCGCAATCCGGAAGTCTAGCGCGCGCGCCCGAATCCCACTCTCGAGGATGTTTTCATTTTCTTTTCGATTAATGTGTCCAAACCGTCGCGACGCCAACCAACAATAACATCACGCCGACATTATGAACGCACTGTATATGCGCGCGAACAATAAATAACGTTTTTCCAAACGTGTTGGCCGGAAGCTCCCGAGTGACCGATGGCATTAGGAAAGCGAACAATAAATAAATACGAAAACGAAAGAAGAAAAAACAGGAAGCTGTGAAGAACAAGCTTTTTCTTATGTGGTTTATATGTATATATCGGATGGTTGTGGATGCAGTCGCAATCAAAAATTCTCCGACGTCTAAACCGACGTCCTGCCGGGATTTATCGCTGCGGTTCCAGCCACAATGGCTGGAAACACCGGCGGATATCAGCAAACCGATGAGAAAACCCCAAGGAGCGACGAGAACTCGCGAGACTCCGGATGCGGAATGAGCGATTGAACTGCAGCATGCACGGGCACTGGCGCAAAAAGTTTCGCAAAAAATCAGCAACGAAGACGGGAAATATTCAGTCCCGGGACTCGGTTAGACAATTCAATCGCGGTTTTACTAGTTTTTCCCATGTTACTCCGCATTGCATACATATGTATCAAGTGTTTGTGCAAATATCGCAAAAGTAACGAAATAAAACCCGGGAATAAGAGATAAAGATGCCGATAAAACCGTTGAAATAAATAAAATTTTATTTGCTCGCAGTAAAAATAAAATGCATAAAATAAATGCAAAGGTATTTGTTTTATTAAAAGTAATTAATCTAAATTTTAATATTTTTAATGGTGAATTCGGAATTTTATGATGCGGTTTAACGCTGTGGTGGTGCAAAACTCTGTTAAACGATAGCAATCCCCAGCTCCAGCCGCCAGCTGCCGTCACGGCAAGAGATGAAGAACGACCCCGAAGTAAAGTCGAAGGAACGCATAACTCGCGAGAGCACAAGTGCCAAGAGCACTAAAGGTTGCCAAAAGGGGTGCATTCATAATTACGTATTGAAGTGTTTCATCCCCCGTCTTTCCGAGATGTCTGCATTCGAGAAAATTGCTGTGAACTAGCGGAAAACCGGCAAGCAGAATACAAGAATGAAGAGTCTTCAGGAAGACTTCACAAGACTTCAATGTGGAAACAAACATTTAAAAAAATAATTATTTCGGTTGCATACGGATTTCGGGATTTTGTTTCACGTTCAACCGGAAGCGGTAGCCAGACGGGCGGATGTGCAGCGTGTCTTCCGATTATTTATGGTATTAGGGCTTAAACAGTGCGTAGCCGACGAGGCTAAAGCTCGCTTTATGTTTGCGGTCCCTTCGCGCCCCTTTGCATTTCACTCCATGTCTCTAATATATTTGACAGGGGTTTTCATTGTTTTAATTCATTTCCAAAATGTCCGTCCGGCAAAACAATAAATTATATTGCTAAATTTAAAATGGAAAATTTTTTATTTAAAATTTTTCTGTTTTTCGCGGAAACAATGATTAAAAGCGCTTTTCATCATTTTGCGGTGTCCATATTTTCGGTCCACGGACATCAAGTGACTTAAAAACGTATTAATATCAATTTGATGAAACGATGAGCTGTGGGGAGGTGGCACACCACCGCCCCTCTCATATATTCAGAGCGAACGCGCTGTGGGCAAACACGACGATGATGAAGTGTTCACGGCGTCAGAGCTCGCAAAGTTCCGCGCGCCGAGAGTAATTTCCGCGAGCTTAATATCGCACGCTCGGTGGCGGGCGGGGGCGTTAAATGGCCCGAAGGCTTTTTCGCCGCGCCACGCGCCACCGAGCGCACAGTCAAACAACGCGCATCACGCATTTGCGCCGAAACTGGACACCGGACGTCGCAAAATTTCCAAAATGTTCAATGTACCGGAAACAACCCCTAAAAACCACAATGTGAAAGCAGAATTCACAAGAATTTAATAAACTTTAAAAAACTATGTGTTTTAATATCGCCCAATCAAATATTAGTAAGTAAACGTGGAGCAAATGTGCAATTTGAAGGACTTAACCAAAAATTTTCATAACTTCGACTGATATTGCTTATTTAGGAATGTTTTGCTGACTGATGGTCTGTGTTAGTTGTTGGGATTAAGCGAGACGTGGCACATTCGCACATCGCACCCCTTGATGCGTTCGCGTCGCGACAAGTCAATATTGGCGTTCGGCATTTCCGCTCTCGTCCTCATACTCGTCGCAGCACACGTCAGTGAAAGCGGCGGAGGCATCATAAACGCGCCCACCGCCTGCCAAATGTCACCATAAACGATAATCCCCGGCCGCTCAAACGGGCGCAAATCCCGAATAATGTCCAGCCGGGCGGTAGACGTTTATGTAAACGACGTGACACGCAATGACCACAACATATCCCAAAGTGATAAGACCAGAAAGCGAAAAATAAAAATAAAACACGCTCGAAAACACCTTCTCCCAAATATCAAATATTAATATACCATGTGTTTGAATAATTAAAATTGAATTTACCGCAACATCTTGTAGGTCCTAAAATGTGAATTTAGACCGCCTTTAGGAGGGTGCATTTAATATTGATTTTGACGTTTCGGTATAATGTCCCTGGCAGAATAGGAGACCGTTATATCGGTTTGTATTAGTTACGCTGCAACAAATTTTAATGCAGCATGAGGGTTGCTTTGGCGCAATGCCGCCTGCATTACGAGTTAGAAATTTCAACACCTTGCAATCGCATTTCATGCTTTCCAAAACCCAATTGTCTTTATATAAAAAAATTTAAAAATCACTTACCTTCACGAACATTCTCCACCTTCGTAGCAACACACTCCGTTCCTCTTTCAGTGGAACAAGGTGACACCTGAATATCCTTCCCGACGCACCTCCTGGTAATACAGTACCGCCGGCGAGTCTTCGTGCAATTGGAGCTGCACTCCGACCAGTCGCTCCAGCTGGACCATTTCGGCTCTGGGGAATTAATCCGAAGTTAGTTACACAAGCAGCGCGCTGGCAGAGGTATTACGCAAGCAAACTGGCAATTGGACGCCAATTGAACCGCTGCGGTCACGCAAATGCAATTAAAATTAACTCCACGGCGCTGCATGAGATCAACTTAATTCCGAAACGGCCCAGGCGCGTCTCCACCTGGACCTGCCCCAGCGTTTGATAATGTTTGCTAATGTTCGAGGACACTCTTCCGACCGCAAACGGACGACGCTGGCGACACTTTGATCTCGTTCGTTCGGGACGATAATGACGGCATTCAAAGAGCGAGCGTACATCACAAAAGTTAATTACTAATTTCAAGCAGATGCAAATTAGTTACAATGCTTATGTTGGGGATTTTTACCGGTACAATGAGGAAATTAGGAATCCCTTCAATTTACAAGCTTTTGACAAGCATCACAAGGACAATTCGTTTATTTAATTAGTACGTCTCTCTTTGAAGTCGCGTACAATTACACCAAAGTCAAATTAAATATTTTGACAGTTGACAGCTGTCATCTGTGGCTGTAAGTATTTCAATGATGAAGATTCTTACCCATCAACGACAAATCGTTATCGTCAAACTCATAAATCGTATCCAGGATGAGCTCCTCTGCGCGCAGAAATAAATGCAAGCGTGGGAAAACAAACAGAGACACAAACAAATAGACAAGCGAAACAAAGAGTATACTAATTGGCAATAAGCAGGCGCAAGCAAGCAGTGAGTATAGGTATATATTTATATGGATGTGGGACTGTGAACGCACTGTATGCACTTCTTGTTTTAATGATATGATGATATGATTTGTTGTAGTGTCGCCTGCTTTGTTTGGTGTGTTGTTGTTGTGGTGTAGTTGCTCGTTGGCCGCTTGTTATTTATTGAAAGAAGAAGAAAAGAAACAGAGGGTCCAGGTGAGGTTCGCGCTTACCTGGCGGACAGTCGCGGCATTCCTTCGTCTTCTGCACGTTGACGCCGACGCAGTCGAGACCGCCGTTGCTCGGCGGCGGGCTGATGCACGCGCGGGTGCGCTTCTGGCCGGCGGAGAACGCGGCGCCCCCCGGACAATGGCAGAGCTGCCACTCGGACCACGGCGACCACCCACCGTTCACTGCAACAACACACAACACAAACACATAGGAATAAAATCAGAAAACAATGAGCAGCAACGCACTTTCAACAACATGATGCCAACATACGCATACGAATTAAACGAACCTTCCTCAAGGGTACGATAAAAATCAGAAACGTAACAGGCTTGTGATCGGCCGATTGGACAATCGGACAGATCTTAAAGATCTCGCGATGACTTGGCCGCGGGAGAGATCCCAGGAATGTTTATGAGGTTTGTCGACGACGGCGCTTTTTATTGAGCGCACTTTCGGGGGGTCTGCGCGCATAATAAGAAATAATTCGGAAACGAATTATAAATTCATCAGGCGTCACACGAGAAATTTTATATCCTTGTCATGGGAGTCAGTGATGTCTCGCGGCGATATTCCTTGGCGTAGGCTAGGAAATGCGTCGCCAACCAGACACGAATATTAACTAGATGTCAAAATTTTCACGAAAAAAAAAAATAATCGAAGAAACAATTTTGATTAAAATCCACATCAAATAAAATCTCCTATTATAAATATCCTATAATAAATATTTTGTTTTCTGGCTAGAAAACTTTCACACAACTAGCAGAGTCCCAAAGTGGACTTAAAAGAGCTTTACTTCCGTTTTTCCGGCGTTCGGCATGCGGGCGAATAAACAAACTCTTCATTTTCCCATCTTTCCGGCAGGCTGCGCACGAAAACTATTCACTTTACGCGCATACTTTCGCACAAAACCTCCAGAAGTCTACAAAGTCCACGAAGGGTAGGTATCACGATGTTACTTTAACTTTCAACTTCAACTTCTTGGACTTCAAACTCGACTTGGCGCGTAGTTTGCAGTTCGTAAAGTAATGCCGAGTAAAACACCGAACCGCACCGCAACAAGAACAGGCAGGCCATGTAACGTAACGTGAAACTAAAGGGATGAACCTATCCAAAAACATTTCCGCAAATTTTTTCCTAACCCTAAAATTTACAAATGTTTCTAATACAATGCCTAATCGAGGAATAAATGAAGCAATTTTCGAATAATTGCCGATTATTCAAAGTGATGAGTGCAATTCAGCTTGAGCAAAGTCAAAAGACAATTCGTGAGAAATTTTCCACCCTTCTCACTGTGAAAACATCATCTCCGCTCTTACCCCGCGCGCACGTCAAGAAGTCTGCCGCGACGAGATATTTGCATGCCATTAAACGCAAAATTCGCAATCAATCTGCATGAATAAATTTCGATGCTTCAGCGTAAAACACAGATAATAAAACTGGCGAGAAACGGGTTTACCCTATAATCCTCCACTGTGGAAAAATTAAAACAAAATAAATTCCGACTTAATTCATCTTAATAATCGCCTTTGAAAGTGCGCTTAATTGCGTTAGCGTCTCGTATCAAACGCGCTGTTACCGTTTAAACTGATTAAGACGCGCGCAGCGCGATTTTTGCTCTCTTTGCAAGATGGCCAAGCCTAACCGAGCGGAAATTAAGTTTAATCTTTGTTTGTGTACAATTACTGTTGCATAATTAAGAGGCGACGTCAAGTCAAGCGAGCAACTTCTCGGCAGTTCATTTAATTATCCATTTATTATCGACAACGTTTTTATGCGGCGAGCGATTTGCATATTGCATATTGATGTCTCTGCAGCAAACTACATACATACAATTACACGCATATACAGAGTGTTCACAATATCTTTTCTTTATTTGGTTAAAATTTCTTTAAACGTAAAAAAATTATTTTTCTTTAAACACATTGTATATATTTGGGAATAATTAAAATCGTCATTAGCCCGCCGGTTTATTTACCTGCACTTTGTTTACTTATGCATGCGACGAATAAAACGTGTAATAAGTAGTTAGTAGTTGGGGTTCAGGTTCGGGTTCGTAATTTTAATTATTTCGCAATTTTAAGACCCACATAAATCATGTTTATTGCTGCGCCAAAGTTAAGTATCCTATCAATTTTGTATAAAGTACACGTAAGATTTTTTCGCCCACATCATAACAATAATAATATATCAACAAAATAAAAAATAGTATATTAAGTATCAAGTGGCTAAACGGGGACTTTACTCACGAGATTGATTGAGTGTTTGAGTGTTTAACAACGTTTAGTCACGTGATGCTTACACTATTTTTACTACTTCCACTCTATTTCCACGTTGAGTTTTTGTATTTCAACTTTTGTATTTTAAATCATCGAAATTTGCAAATGCGCAGGCGCAAGCTCCGTCCCGTAGATAATACCCGTAGGTAATGGATATTACGCACGGCTTAAAAAATTACTTACATATTTTAGGTTAAATATAATGGAAGTAAACGAGTCGTAATTAATTGTCCCGAATAAAGTGAAACTTTATCACTAGTAATAAATTTCCGGTTTCCCCCAGGGAGTAGGTACTACGAGCGTTTAAAACTATCGTAAAATTTTAAGTTTTACTTAAACTCCGACGCTGAATTCCAGCGCAACGCCACCAATAATACTAATGGCGTTTAGTGCGCTCCTCCGCCATGAAAAGGATATAAGTAATTTCCGGCGCGCTTTAAATTTTCAAAGCCGGAAGACTTCCCGTCCGGACGGTGATAAATATTTTCGAAATTAGCGACGTCTATGACTAGTAAATATCCGCTCACCGGCGCGTCGTCGTCTCACGAGAAAGTTTCCAACTTTCGAGATGGGCGGATGCGGCGTATAAACGTCGCCGGCAAATAAAAGCCGAGTAAAGAGGCGAGTTTATCGAGATCGGGGACGGTCGATGCCGACGTCGAGAGATCGAGAGGATAATTCGAATTATTTATAAAAGTCAGGGCGATGAATGCAAACGAGACGGTCGTACAAATGCATTGAGACCTTAAATAGACACAATTTGACTGTATCTAAAGCTCGGGATCAGGGCTCAGGTGGACAAGAAAAATTAACAGACAAAATATATTACTATACAAGAAAAATAAAGTTTAGAATATAAATTTCTTGTTTTCTGAGTTTTGGAAGAAGTTTTAAAGTGAATAAAGCAAATAGAAAGGACTTAAAGAAAGGAGGAAAATTGTACGTTAATTTAGTGCGATTATATTTCGTAATCTCATTTCCAAATATCAAATTTTCAAAGGCAGAGAATGAAGGATGTATTAACAAGATAAAGCAGGGACAAACCGAAAAGGAAAACGATGACAAAAAGCTATTTCATTTCACTATTAATTTCTAAAGCTTTTCAGAATAAAATTAAGCAAAGAATTAAATTCTGCTTATTAAAAATTAAAAATGCAATTTATTTATAATATCTGAGCTAAAACTGAAAGTGCGTTTGTTGGCACAGTGTTCTCCAACGCAATTATCAACGGTAATGTTCCCTCTTGGATGCAACGCGACTATGGAATTTATATGCGCCGGGGAACCGCGCATAACTTAACGCATCGCACGCACAAACGCAGGAACAGAGCGCCGTAGGGTCATTAAATATAAATAAACTGACAGGCGTGCTTCCCTTTCGCGTATTGCATATTATATTCCAAAGAACAAATAAAACTCAAAAACGCGTAACGAAACAAAATTCAAACAAAAGCAACAAAATTTACAACATTTGTTTCTGATGGTTTTAGGTTGCTATAGTTTTTGAATTTATACAAAGCTTGGAGTGTCAAATAAAGCAAAATTACATCCAAAAATTCTAATCCACAATATCAACATGTTTAGCTGGATATCGCGTGTGAGTGATGATAAAGAAGAGCTTTTCGAGACCGTCGTCGAAGGGTTGAAGGTAATCTATAAGAATAAACTGCTTCCATTGGAGGAGGCTTATAATTTCCATGATTTTCACTCGCCGCAATTGAACGATGCCGATTTCGAAGCGAAGCCGATGATTTTACTCGTCGGGCAGTACTCTACTGGTAAGACCACTTTCATCAGGTACCTCTTGGAGCGAGAGTTTCCTGGCATGCGTATTGGACCAGAACCCACGACGGATAGATTCATCGCTGTGATGTACAACAATAAAGAGGGGGTTATACCCGGGAATGCCTTGGTAGTAGACCCAAAGAAACAATTTCGACCTCTGGGTAAATTCGGGAATGCTTTCCTGAACAGATTCCAATGTTCCCATGTCAATTCAGCGGTCCTAAAGTGTTTGTCTATAATCGACACGCCTGGTATCCTCGCCGGGGAGAAACAACGGATTGATCGCGGGTATGATTTTGCTGGTGTGTTGGAATGGTTCGCGGAGCGTGTGGACAGGATTGTGTTACTCTTTGATGCACACAAGTTGGATATATCTGATGAATTTAGGAGATCTATTGAAGCCTTGAAGGGTCATGATGATAAAATCAGAATTGTGTTGAATAAAGCTGATATGATTGATCACCAACAACTCATGAGGGTTTATGGTGCTCTGATGTGGTCACTCGGGAAAGTTTTTCAGACTCCTGAAGTTGCAAGGGTTTATATTGGATCATTCTGGGATCAACCTTTGAGGTTTGATGTAAACCGTCAATTGTTTGAAGATGAACATCAGGATCTCTTCAAGGACCTGCAAAGTCTTCCAAAGAATGCCGCGTTGAGGAAATTGAATGATTTGATTAAACGAGCTAGACTTGCTAAGGTCCATGCTTATATCATTTCGGAATTGAAGAAGGAGATGCCCAGCGTGTTTGGTAAAGATGGCAAGAAGAAGGATCTCATTAAAAACCTTGATAAGATTTATGAGAAGATGCAGAAAGATCATTCTATTTCCTTAGGGGATTTACCAAACATAGATAAAATGAAGAATGTGCTTGCAACCCAAGATTTCACAAAGTTCCATTCCATAAAATCCCGATTAATCGAAGTGGTTGATAACATGTTATCAATAGATATTGCTCATCTCATGGCAATGCTCCCACATGAAGAAGTCCGCACCTCCAATGAAACCAACATATACGGAGGTGCTTTCGAGGGGTTACTAGGAGACCATGTATCTCCATTCGGATACAAACAAGGTGAAGGTATCAACGCAGGTTTTGGTGAACCAGATTGGATCGTCAACCGGGACAGAGCCCAATATGACGCTATCTTCGACACATTGGAACCAATCGATGGGCGGGTATCAGGAGGAGCTGCCAAATCAGAAATGGTCAAGTCTAAACTCCCAAATGGGACCTTGGGCAAAATCTGGAAACTCGCCGATACAGACAAGGACGGATTCCTGGATAGAGATGAATTTGCTCTGGCAATGTATCTAATCAACGTCAAACTCGAAGGTGGAGAATTACCAGTTGACCTACCTCCACACCTCAGACCCCCCACAAAACCCACTTCATCAGGAGGTCGGAGATAAAACTAAAAATTAATCTCTACAGTCCAAATTCACGTATAACCTAAAACTGCATCATGTACAAAACCAAGCGTAATATACACGTTGTTTTCGTTGTTTTGTTTTCCCTGATATACAATGTGTCCAATGATTTTCCACACTTGGATCAGATCAGAAATGTTATTTATAAGTCGCTTGTCGTCGGGGGAGTGAAACACGCGCGTTGACAACTCGTAGGAGTGAGTCGTACATTGTTCGCGACTTTATTAGCTGCTACAATCTCATTTATCTTTGCGTGTTATTGCGCGCCGAGCGAAAATAACATGGCGTGGCGCTAAATTATCATAATTCCATCAGCCGGGCGGAGCGGACGGCTTCCCAAGCGCACGCGGCATGACATTAAAGTGCAGAAAACGAGCATAAAACGGGTGAAATATTGTGTGAATATTCCCGGAATACAGGATGACAGATGGCGCTGGTTGATGACATGCGTCAGTCTAACAACTACGCCATCTAGCGGTGAAATAACCATCAACATATTCATGTGTGAATGGACATTTCAGACTTGTTTACAATGTTTTGCAGTCTGGTTAACATTAAATTTCGCTGGAAATAAATTGCGGGATTGAGTGACATGGTCGCTACTCGCTAGAATTGCTCAATTACTCGGACAATCCGAACGATGTGCGCTCTTCGTGCAATTATTAACAATTATCAAGTAATAAAATGTTTAATCTTGTCTTTAGCGCATTGAATTCGCGGCGTCTTGATGCGTTTTCCCCGCATTTTTCGATTCTTAATGCGGCGTAGTAATGTCTGCACGGTTGGAAGTGTATTCTGGTTGAATTTACGATGCATTCAGCACGACCCGAGCGACCGATTGAGCTGCTTTTGCTGGCGCTCGGCTAGTTTAGCTCTTTAGCTCGAGCGCATGTATAAATAAGCAGCGGCGCGGCGCGGCGAGGGAGAAAAGTACCGCGAAATTATGGCATTATAATCTTTTATTCCGCGCGACTGGAAAATTGCGCATAATGACGCGTATTATCGTAATAATGCCGGCGCGAATCCGGCCATAGATTGAATTGCCTTTCAAGTCAAGCGCTAAACGTGAAAACACGACTTTGGAATTATTTTACTTGACCGAAAACGTAAATTAAAAAAAATTGAAATCCATCACAAATTTTATTTATGATATAGGCAACTTATTCTACTTAAATGATTGAAATTTTGTAGTTGCATAAGAAATGTTTCGATTTTAGCACTCGACACTCGAATTTCCCGATTTCTGGAATTTTGTCATGCGACGCAGCAAATTGTTAACGCAATTTGCGTGAAACCCGATGCAGCGCGCCCGCCCAGCCCCGATATAAAGCAATTAAACAAACCGAATCGCTTAATTGCGTTTTGCGAGACGGCATCGGCAGACTCGCCATCCACTCGACGTTTAAATTTAAAGCGATTACATAAAACGGCCAGCACATCGCTCTCCGCAACGTTTTAATTTCGTTAAAACGGTTATTTTATCAATTAGCGTGTGCATTCCGCTGGTCTATTTTTAACTGCAGCAAAAGTCACAAAAAACACGCAAAAATCCGCTAAAAACCAAGAAAATCAACGTAAATTTCTTCTGAATGAGCATAAAAATAAACCAGCAAGAATTGTATAAAATCATTTTAATGAACCACGCGTGTGTTTCGTTTTTATTTTTTTCGCTGTACGTCTGAGCAAAGTTAATTCTTTTCAGTACAGCGGCGCACGACCATCATCAAACTTCCGAAACTAATTATTTTTAAAAATAACAGTCACATCCACGTTTCCTTCGTGCGCGAGTGCGGTGGTAGCGCTTCCTTTTTCTTTCAGATTTGTTCTGCTTTGTTTTATGCCGCCGCCAATGTTTCGATTCTATTTTTGTGTTTTGTGTTTTGCGCCGCCCCGTTTCATTTCGTTTCGTAGATAGATATTTCCATGCGCGGCCGAAAACTTTGCGCTGAAACTTCGACTTCCGAAGCTCTAGCAAAACCAGAAACTTCTACTACGATTAGTTCTTGCATTTATTTTAAAATTCAACAAGAAATCTCCGCCAGACAGTCGCAGAAAGAAATTTGTACATTTTTATTATTGCTTATTTAAAGTCAGCGGAGATACAAAATTGATGAGTATAATTTTTCAATTTCAAAACAGTTTTGAAGAGTATTTTCGACATCAATTAAAAGGATTACATGCGAGCTAATTGCGCGCGTTTAACCCAGCCGTGCCCATTCATAACGCGCTTAATTTATCAAGCAGGTCATTAAGATTTCGGTTCACGTGAGCCGAATGTTCGTGTCCTCCTACCACATGTTCAAATTTCGTATGACAACCGGTTACAAGAATAATTTTAGTTTATTTTTTCAATAAGTGAAGAACAACGGTCTAAAATGACAAAAAATAAATTTTTTGATAGAAATTAATTAATTACCGGAAAACTATTGATAATAAAACCATAATTCTTTCAGTACTAAATACTAGATAATATTCAACACTAAATTACATTAAATTTTAACAAAATTCGCATTTATATCAATTGTTATAACACAAAATAAAAAGTTTTTAAAATTTTCTCAATATTTATATCTTTTGTCCATAACTTTTAAAGTTTATAAGTAACAGTCACAATTCCAACATAATCCGACGTAGAATTATGTATAGAAATAAGTAGTGAAAGAATAATTACAATAAACCCACGCGTCTTTGCGTAATTAATTAAAAACTCGAAGAAAACATGCAAGTGTGTTTTTAGACCGTTGTCCTTCACATATTGCAACAACCTATTACCCACAGTCGACAGGTGTTTTTTTCTGTAGTTATCCTGCGTAGAATATAAAATATACGTGCTGAGTCTTTGTTGCCTGCAGTTTTGTGTCACGAAAAAAAATATTCAGTTTGCTTTAGCGCTCTTTACAGCCGGGTGAAAAAAACAAGCCTGCAAAAAGTGTAAAGTGTGCACACGCAGCAAAGAGAGCTCGCGAGAGCAACGAGCACGTCACAACGATTATAAATTATTATTTTGTGCGCGGCGTCGGCCGACAGCTGGCCCTCATTTAACAGGGCTTTACCTACACAACACACACCTTCACCGCGCCAGGTGAAACTTAATACTCTTCATAATGCTCACAACTTGCATGCAGTTCACCAACATTCACTTCAAAACCCTTTTTAACCGGATTAAAATTAAATTACACGCGTGTAAATATGATTAAAGTAAACTAGCGCCATCTACATTTAAATAACACAACTTTTTTTGATGTGATAAATACGGTTATGTTGCGAATTTATTTTAAAATAAACGTTGCATCGTTTGCGTTAAAGTTTACGCTGCAGACGTGCGTGCGTATTTCAATGGTTAGTTTGCTGACCGTTTCCGGCCACTTGGGACGCCATCAAAACATCTCAATCACCGCCATTCTCACCCCCTCGCCGGGGCGAATTGGCTGCCGCTTACGACTGGAATGACTTTCTCTCGCAATCGAAAGGGAGTTTCCAAGCACCCACAATGGCCACAACTATCCGCGCATCTTTTATTCCGTTATCCTTTGCCGAAGGATAAAAATCTCTTTCGGCGCTGAGGATATATGTTATGTTGCGCGGCGTTTATGCGTCTGGAATGTTTGCGACAGTCTGGTTGGGGCGCTATTATTGTCAGCGCAGAGCAAAGAAAGTAAAGAAATTTTTCCGTTTGCCGGCGGTACAAAACGGAAGCTAAACGGTGAAGAAACAAAAGCCAAATGCGGCGACTTTCACCAGCCGCATAGTCAGCGTATCCTTTTTGATTCATTACAGCCGCTAGACCACTTCTTTCTGCCGGAGTGGAGAAAAATGATCACCGAGTGGAAAAGTGGAAAATAGCGATTCCGGATGCCGGATTCCACAACGCGCCGAATAAAAAAACAAAACTTTTCCTAAAGTTTCGTAAAGTTTTATTGATAATTTCCTCTCGTAAAACCAAACCAGTGCACACGGTGATAAACATATTTCACGCGTTAATCATTTTAATCTCAACTTGTTTGCTTTATTCAATAAATCCAACTTTTACGACGCTGAGCAAACATTTTATCATGCGAATTTGAGTTGGAGTAAAATCAACTCCGCAAGAGAGTCTTTTAGCTTTTAGTTTCGGTATCATTGGCGCACATCTTGTAATAATATTTGTCGATGTTTGTCGCGCGCGTCGTTCGCAGCCGAGCACGAAATTAAATGCAGATATATACAATTTTAATGAAGCAGTTTTCCGTCGGCGAGAGTCGCGCCCAGAGACGGAAGAATATGGCGTGACGACAAACATAAAATTTTCACGCCTTGCTTAAGTTTTAACATGTGTCTCCAGAGTCCGGCTTCAAACTTAGTAAGAGATAACTAAAAATAGCCAACGAAATGTAAAAATTCAATGTGTTCTCATGGGACTTGCAGGTTGTGACATTTTTTACGAAGTTATCAGAGTAATAATATTTTACCACCTGCCTACAGGCCGTGGCTTTTCTTATCGATGAAAGAGTACTAGTAATAATCTTTAATGTTGGTATAAAGATGACAACAGATATAAGTCACACAGGGTTGGATTTATTGATTGATTATTTTTATTTTAATTTAAAAAGATAAAAATTGTTATAACGGAGTTTAACGCCATCTGAATTCAAATTATATAACTAAAACTATGATTTTAATTTTCAACCCTTATTTTCCACCCTTTGCGTTATATTTTTGCAATAAAAAGTATCCTATTTCATTTTCCATGATCAAAACTATCTCTATACAAAAATTTATCAAAATAGCTTCAGTAGTTTCTGTGTGAAAGCGACACAAACATACAAATTCAATTGAGATGTATAATATTAGCACCAATAATCACGTGTTCTTTTTTTTATTATTCCGTACCTGTAAATAACACATCACGCACATCACGCCAGATTTCGAATTGCAAATAAAACCCGAGCATAATTCCCCGCTCGCCATAATTGAAATCTAATAAAACGCGTCGTTATACGCGTCCAGAGAATCCTCTCTCCACCGCGCGCATAAAGAAGATATAGACATTATATGGCCGGATTATTATACACAAACGCGCGTGAGCAAATACAGCGGACGCAAGCAAAACGCGTCCGAGCGCGCAAAAGGAAAACGAAGGATTCCGGCGCGCAGCACAAAGCATTCCTGCGCCGCCGAAATCCACAATCCACAATCCAGCTTTGCAAACGTTTCAAACTCTCGTGCAGAGCGCGCGTGTTCTGCTAAAACTTAAGCCGCGAGCGCCGCTAAAACCTAGAATGAATTCGCAATGCGAAACGAACCCAAAAACGAATTAAACCAAAGATGTACAAATACGAAATTTTCATCTCAAGCGAAATTAATATTCCACCAAACTTACAGCACATAGAGAATCGCTCGTTTCATCATCAGAGCATCATCCACATCAAAATCAACATATAAAATCTTTTTTTATTTTTACGTTTTTACGGTTTTATGTGGATTTCTGTATATTCTGAAGTTATTCCGGTATTCGACGGTCATAAATTTCGACCTACAGATTCGGTTCCGCAGCCTCCTCCGTCCAACTTCAAGATTTAACGAGCAGGAGAAAAAGAAAGAAGCGAACGCGTGCAGAGTAGATTGGTTTACATCATTAATCGCTTGTAATGAACCCGTAAGATGATACTCGATGATACTTTCCACCGCCCTGGACCATAATCATGTAGAATATAGTATCGGATGGAACTTTAACCAACAACAAACTGATTATAATCTATAATATAAAAATGGATCGCAAAATCTGTTGGTAAGCGCATTATTCAACAACGCCTAGACCAATTTGCCCAATTCTTTTTTTAAAATGTACGTTAAAGTACAAAGATGGTTATTACGGCGAGAAAAATTCGAATAATTGCCGGGAAAACCCTAAAGACAGCCTTTTTCAATAAGATAAAAGTTGGCATTGAGATTTAATCATAGTTATAGTTAATTAGTTGAATCCGAGATGGCGCGCTGAAGTGCATTATTAGCAATTTTTTATATAATTAATTTCTTTAAAATAAAATTGCGAATCTTATTGATAGAATTGACACATACTATGTTTAGAACAAGAAAGTAAATTCTAATTACGTTTTTATTAAACACTACTGGAATGAAGTCGCGTGCAAAATCTAGTTAAATTATATTTTTTAGAAACATAATTCCGCGTTTAGATGTGAATTTATGCTAAATTTGAATTGTAATTATGCTTAGGTGTTTAATCCGACACGTAACATCAGACATCTGATATTCAAATGCAGCTCCTATTACAGATATTATGATATCGCATAGCCTCGCATGATAGTCTGATACAGGGATACCCTGATGAGATTATTACGACCTCTAGGGTTGTGATTATCATTATGCACGTCGTGTCACGCTGCGCTCTGACGCTGATTAAATGGGATTAACACACCGATTGTGTCTACCTCCACAATCTCTAATTCAGGACATTCAGGTATCACCACCGCGTGAGATAAAATTAAATTTGATTTTTAAGATGCTTACCCACAACGGTGATCATCGCCGATGGTGCAGTTCGTTTGGCAGCGATATTCTCCGCCACACAAGTATAGTTTCCTGTATCCTGAGTCCTGGCCTGACTTATAAGTAGATTTCCCTCCGTGGTGACGATTACGGATGTGTCTGTCTGCAAAGGTTGCCCACCTCTCAGCCATGAAATGCTTGGTTTTGGTAAGCCTTGCGGGGCTGCACAACGCAGCTCCAGTTGATTACCGTGTTCAACTTTGACAGAATTCGGATTCTCTTCGAATTGCTTCTTTAAATCTGCAACAAATCAATTAAATACATCAATAAAATAAACCAACCCTTTTTTTAAATGTTATGTAAAATGAGTTATGAGCATATTTTTTCCAGTTTCGGGGTTTATTCAAACTCAGACTGTGAGTAAACTCTGGTCGGATAGGATTATGGGGCCTGAATCTGTCTGGAGCTATTTGTACCGATAAAACGCTCGAGCGGATATGCAGCGTTCGGTGCGTGAAAACTGCAAACGTGAAAACTGAATGAAACGCGCGCTCGGACGCCGTAAATAATATCATAACGTATAATACCCGAGAGTCCAGACCATGAGTAGACGATTCGGTACGCTTCGATTGGATTTACGCGATTTGCGCGCTGCCACCATCAAAATTCGCATTTTCACGTGGAATATCAACAAAAATTCAATTGCGACTCACAAAAAAACCTCTGCGTTTACAATGTTTACTAAACGTGTCTATCTATTCCATACTTTTATATTTTGCATGTCAAGCTGTGATTACGATTATGGTTTACAAATTTCTTAGTCTAGCCAAACATAATTACTTCAACCCCTTATAACATTTGATTACTTTGCAACATGAATAACATACGTTGTTCAATATCCATTAAACTCGGTTTTAATTCTGTGCGTCCCCAATCTTTGCGCGCTTTGCATGTGTGGTGTTTTAATGTCCGACATCTTTTATTAAGCATATGTGAGCGTGTAACACGCTCCAAAGCCGGTGGAACGCAGTGGAACACAAGACCTTAACTAAAAAGGCCTATAAAAGTTGCTTTACGATATGTTTCGTGCGCGTTTCGAAAGATATACGGGTTAAAAACAATTCAACACGCTTTTTCTGACTGTGTTTCATTTTAATAGGCATATGTTTCCAAGTGCTCTAATGGTTTTCATTAAATCTTGTTGTTTTTTCCAAGTTCTTTTAATTAAGATTAAATTCTAGTGTTTTAGGGGTTTATTAATAGGATTAGTTCAGTTAATCAAACAATAATTTTTTCTGGTCGAATGCAGTGGGAAATGACATTTAAAAAAGTATTTTGTCTTTTATCCATGAAATATTACAGATATTTTAAAGCTACTGGGCTTACAGGATGGAGAATTAAATTATCTTTTGTACAGTATTTTTGCAAATGATATTAATTTAATATTTTCAGAGATATTCAATTTTATTGAAAAGTGACAGAATAAAAAAATAATTTTTCTTTATTTTCGTCGAAAAAAATTTGAATGTCTTCTGCAAATTACTAAAAATCTACAAAATATTCAGCAAAAACCTTTTCTGATAACCTAACCTAAAATAATAATTTTTTGAATGTTAAAACACTCGATTAAACAGTAATAATCAAAATAAAAATCATGAAAAATACAAAAATCAACAAATGCTTCATATATTTAACAAAAATTCAGTTTTATTGTAAAAATTTTGCAATTATTAAGCATCCACCATTAGCCAACTCAAATTTTAAAATTGGAATAATGAGTAGTGGTGTGCTCATTAAATTCAGCTAATTATACGTAAGTATTTTTGCGCGTTGACGGATATTTTTGTTCGTTTGCACACACAAGAAGAAAATTGTTGAGAGCGAACTCGCATTGCACGCCTCGTCGACCCGCACGAATCCTTTTGATATATATTTTTAGTCGCCAACAACTCAAAGATTTCGAAATTGTTTCCAGACGCATTTTGTCCATTACACCAACAACAGAAGAAAAAAATCAACCACAACAACAACAACAACCAAAATTTGAGTCCCTTATACCTAATGCAAACATGTTAACACGTAAACATAGAATTATCAAGCGTAGACGGAGCGCAGACAGGAAAATTGATTGTTGGAAGATAAACGAGGCGCATCGTCGCAATGCTCAATATACCACTGAAAATACGCTCATGCAACTTGTGAAAACCACGGCTAAAACCAGCTCGCCAAGAAATAAAACAGCCATATTAATGTTGCACGTGCGGCTCCTTCTGTTCGAGGTGCATTTGTACACACAATGCGCCAACTGCAAAACAAATTTCGTTCGCGCGCTGCTAGTAAAACGCCGACATTCACGAAACAAATCTAACAACAATACGTGCGATTTCTACATTTCGGCATGCTCGAGTATTTCTTGTGTTTCGCTGTGTTTGCAATGCGATATCGTCATTTTTTACTAGTTTATTACGAGCACAACGAGTTGAATTTCCAGCTCATTTCCTATAGTGCTTATAATTCATGATGAAACCATGCGAATAAAGTTGTTAAACAAGTGCACTATAAACTTTTCCACTGCACCATGGAAAATATTGAATAAATTTCGCGTTTTAAGCTAATAATAAATTACTTACAAGAGATAATAAATTTTTTAGCCAAATATGTATTTTCATCAAATTTTACATTTAGTGTCATGTGTTCGGGTTGTTTATGACAATGAAAACGAACGAGTGCAGTGAAAATGCACAGCAAACGCGTCCGAATGAAAATGTAAACACAGTAACTTTTTTTGCGCCACGCTCGGATCTCTTTCGTATTTTTACGATCGTGCACTACGTCATTTCGTTATAGTTTTGTCGTAGTTTTTTCGGCGCTGCGGCGCTATTTGCATGGCGCCTCCGCCATTTCACAACGAAATGAAATGTGATGATATCCAGCCAACGGACAACGAACAAAAGAACATTGTTGGACCAGAGCATGCAGATAAAACTATAAAACTTATATTTTCAAGCAAATACGATAAAAAAAAAAAAAAAAATTTTGTGGTTTAATGATTTTTTTGGTGTTTTTTCTTGTATTTGTATAAAAAATAAATATTTTACTTTATATCACGGAAGATCCAAGTGTGATACGTTGAGAATCCCGTAGTGAATTTCCGGATTCCTTCAGAATCTCTCGATTTGCGCGGTGTTGTCAACAAATATCGGAAACACAAATATACAATATCGCTGTGGCTTAACCTGGCTTCGGATACAAATAGGAAGCTGTACATCAAAGCCAAGAAATTGAATAAACTGACAATATTCAAACATTTTCTTCCAACTTTTAAATTTCAACTATCATTACACCTATTTTGTTACCGACAAAAAGTTATTCGAAAACTAGTCAAGTCGTAGTTAGTGTCAGTGCGAGATTTATCACCTAAAGATGATTTTCGTATTTTAGACTTCAAACTATTCTCCCACAAAACACGAGAGAGTAAATGTCCTGGTCTCTCCTCGAACGCACAATTACGAAAAACACTCTCGTCGAGCGCGTCTCGACGGTCTCTGATTATTTTTCCACCAGTTCTTGCGGTAATTCTGGCCGGCCAATGAGTGTTGTCTCGCGCGCATCTCCGTTTCTCTTTTGAGCGCAGGTCGCAACCGAGCATAAATAAACTATGCGTAAAGGATGATTTATGTTCCGGCGGGAGCTTAATTCGAAGCGTTTAATAATAATGAGCATGCCGTAAACGAGCATTCACCCAACGGTGCACATGCACACAATTCAACAACAACAACAATAATAATATTCTCTGCTGTCTTTTCACAAAATCACAAAACAACTAAAATTCATAATTTTACATAGAAATATTTTATTGTGTGCGTGTGTGTGGGTTGTAAACATTAAACACCTGTCTCGTTGGTTATGCGCACGTTTAATATTTATAATTCGTTAATTTATAATTATGCGTTATCGTCGTATAGGAATGTTTGTGCAAATGTGCCATCAGACGCCATCCGCCGCCATACCGATGGGGTTAATATTTTAAGGTAATGCAACCGGGCGCATTCCGGCAGACGCACGAGGGTGAAAACTGCGCGCACCGCACTAACCCACAATTCAAACAGCGCCCGCGAGGGCTATAAATTAAATTCGTAATTAAAACCGGAAAAGCATCCAGGTACTTATTATTTTCATAATTACACAAGATTACTTAGCATAAAAACAAAATTTAAATAAAGTGTACGCTTTCATCTAATAGATGGCGCTATTTTAAATATTTCAACTTTTTTTTAATACTCAAAGATAAACAGTAAGCTTTCGAAAAATTTAGTAGAAAAATTCATAGATGCAAGCTCCACCCCGTGACTAAAACCCGTGACTAAAGTACTTTAGACACGGCTTTGGCTTTCCGTGAGAAAAATGCCACTTATTGGGTCTCAAAACTGTAAAAAACACGATGGAAGTAAAAAACGTGTTTTATGCATAAAACAAAAAATAAATAAATAAAACACCGACTATTATCCAATAGATGGCGCTGTTTTTAATGTTTCTATCACTTTTAATACTCAAAGGTAAAAATGTGAGCGCTTATATTATAATGCCGTAAACGTGCTTTATGCACACTCAAGCAGAAACCTGGCTAGCTCATCTCGCATTCCTGAAACGATGATGTCCTGATGTGCTTGAGAACGTCGCGAGAAACGTCTCATAATCTTCCACAATCTTCTTAAGTTGATAAAGCTCACCGCCGCGTAAATACGCGCACAACTTCTTACGCAGCTAAATATTCCACATTAAAAAATATTCAAAACTAAGTTTTTTTTAATGTCTTCGGCAACTTTCTTCTGGATATCATCAGAAAATGTGCGTGTGAAAAACGCTGGAAAATTCGAAGGACCACACGGTAATAGCGCTAATGCGCCTTGATTTATTATCGCGACCCACTTTTATCGCAATATGCATTTTGGCGCTTGGCGTGAAAGCACCGCGCTGCTATCGATTCAGATTCGTGAAAGAAGCAAGCGCTCGAAAGCTCTCGGCTACATCATAAAAGTGTGGAGAAGTGTAAGCCGATGTCGCCGTGTCCCAAAAAATTCCTAAACGAAAATCTAATAAGGATTATATTCTAAGCCCCAGCGCCCGGCTTTCATTTACGTTCGTTCGGTTTTTTTTTTTTCATCTTTTTCCCTGCTCCTGAGCTTATGCTGCGTGTATATTTCACGCTGTATGATTATCAAAGTGAGGAAAAGTGTACAAGTTGCACGGGCGTAATCTGATGATGAATTTATTCCTCATCCAGATTCGGCTTTAAATAT